CTGGTCAGCATTTTGTACCAACACCAAACACCAGCACATAAGACCCCTACATTTCATTATATTCATATACAGTCCTAGCCTGGTAAAAACCAGACCCTTGTCCTTCAGGGAAACTAGAATTGAGCGGAACTGCGTAGGAAGGTAAGGGCCAGGCTAACACAGTCTTGGCATCTTCAGGAAACTTCAGAAAAATGCTGCATTGCCTGAATTAGCTTTAGTACGTGACCAAGTTTTACTGATTACTCTGATTTGAATTTCATGTTGACAGCCTCCCCATCACCCAGCCAGATCACCACTCATCATCTCTAAAAACATGAAGATGAACAGGAATACGATGTGTGCAGCGTTACCTGTAATAGTTTAATAATATTGTTTTAGTTACTGACTGCTCTGCAGTCATGTATTATTGCTCATATGTCCTAATTAATAATTATTTATTTCTTGTTCTGTCTTGAAATAAAAAATTCTAATTTGAACTTGACCCCATGATTAAATGCTAAATTAATAATGTAACACAAATGTAAATAAACAGTTCTGCATTAATTATTGTTTTACAGGTTATGGTGTTAAAGTCATGTTGGTCAGACATTTTGATTCATCTCTGATTATTCTGGAGGACAGAAAATGACACATTTTGTTACCTTTGTGATGTTGCAGCATGCTTCAGCAAGTCATTGAGGTCAGTCTGGTGTGGTTTAACTGAAAAATATCATATAATTATTAAATTTCACAATAACATTTATCTATATCCCTATTTGTGCTGTTGTCTCTGACGAAGAATATATAACTTGAACTAAATTAACCACRTCTGTCTCACAGTTCAGTAAMCACCACTTAATTTATAAAATTATCTACTTTCAAATTTTTAATTTGTGCAGAATATTTTAAAAGTTGAAGTCAACAGACTGAAATAGTCCCGTTTAAATCTATCATTACTCGCCATGCTCACAATGAGCTAGCTGCAGTTAAATACAACCACCATTGGATTGGCCATCGGGCATAACGGGCACTTGCACGGTGGGCCAGTGGTGATTTTCGGCCGGGCCTTTTTTTTTAATTAATTTTTCCCCCTCTCTTC